ACAGGAAGATAAACTGAGACTGCCGACTTGACTGGTGCTTCGCGATGGCTATGGTTTTGTATTTCACCTGGGGCCAATTTTTGATATAAATACAGTTTACACAAAATGCGAACGGCTCCAAACAGAGAGCGACGAATGCTACAAAATCAATTCCAAAAAAAATATTTCTACGGACTAATAAATTATTAGGTACTTGCTAATAATTTTGCTCGCAAAGCACCTGTGTAGTTATTGTGATTGTATTCGTCATAATCGTACGTATAATATCTGTATAGGTGTGATATTTGTAGTAGCACTATAAATAGGAAGCATTAGTGCTATGTTTGTGACATTAGGACCATCTGTCATCTAGCCATCTGTCCCTCTCACTTCATCATCATTTCAGCCATAGGACGTCCACTGCTGAACATACGCCTCCCCTAATGCTTTCCACGTTGATCGATTGGTAGCGGCCTGCGTCCAGCGCTTCCCTGCTACCTTTACGATGTCGTCGGTCCACCTTGTAGGTTTTCGGTACGCTATCTTCCCTCTCACTTGCTATAGGATAATAGGACTATTCTTTGCGTTCCTACTACTGAAAGTCAGCCACTCTAACCATCAATGATACTCTTTCTAAGTGGGGTGCTGGCATGCGAAATACGCTTATGTTTGATTCGCAGTAAACCCTTGCTCTCTTTCACGTCTCGGTCGTAACGCTGTAACCCAGTTAGACAGTTGCACAACAGGAAGATAAACACGCGGTGCCAACCCTGCGCGGTTACTGCGATGTAGGAATACCTAAATATAGATACTATAGAGCTGCATTGACGTTTGAAACTTTGGATGTGGTGTCATTTAAAAAAAAACATAAATAGTTTACTCATATTACAAAATTGATATGCCTAATTGAAATCGAACTAGAAGAGTTAGCAAAAGAATAACAACAAGCAGTATCACACTGTTACAGCTGTTTTTTATCTTTACATTTCAAGTGCAATTGAAATGATCTTTATGCAATTTTAACAAAGATTTGGCGCTAATGAACATCAAACAAAAAGGTAGCCCTTTAAGGGGCTCATTACAGTATCTTCGTTGAGAAACGTCGCTTTTAACTCCGATGTGTAGTCAATTAATAAGAATATTTATTACTTCGGTCCATCATACTCAAATACCACATCCACCGCGTCACAACATTTCCTGGCAGCGCGCTCGGCAGACGCGCGTCTCGCGCCAGTCGGCCCCGATGCTCCAGAGTGTGTTCTGCTGCCGCAAGGTCTCACTGTCATTGCCACGGGCCCCATGCCATCTGTACCATACCACCATGTGACGCCATGTAGTGCCAGTGTGTGTGTGTGATGTTTGTGTTCAAGTACGTCAGGAAGTACTTGAGAATGGGTCTGCCTGATCTGACGGTGAGTTCACGACCTTCTTCGTTCGATCTGTGCGATCTTCGTTTGTTTTTTCTTTATTTTTTTGTGGCGTCCGATTTTTAACAAGGGGTTTTCGGCCAGTGTCAACTGCCTTTTCATGGATTTCTTTGAGATTAATCCCGTATGAGGTTTTGTGAGGTTAGCTCGTTTCTTTTCGTTGATTGTGAACTCTAAACAGTTTTCTACGTTACATACAGAATTTATTGCGCAGCGTTTTCCTATCGTCCTCAAGCTCTATTATGTCTATGTTAACTACATAGAGCATTTTTTCTAAAGCAGACAACTTAATCAAACCATGACTCATTCGCAGACTAATTGAATAGATGATCATAATTATGACAAACTGCGTCTAGTATATTTAGATTTTACGTTGCGACTTCAAAGATTTAACTCATCGCTGTGTGTAAGCTACTGTGACAACAGATAATTTACTGTGTGCCTTGGTTAATCTAATTTAGAGTCAAATGTTCCTTAATCTTAATTAATGTTACAGTTCATTAATATGAATTAAATTAAGCAGAATAATAAGCTTTGGTGGAAATAGTTTCAGACTAAATGCATCGCCATTGGCCATAGGTCTGACATGGTACTTTAATTTTCATGCAGTAATTTACTGATAGCTAAACATATGACCTCCTGTTTATTATCGGAAAAAAGAAGAAAACTAAATTAATAAAACACAATTAGCCTCGCAAAGAACACCGATACTTTATCATTTACTGCTCGAGGACTGATATTCGAGGAAAATAGTCCGAACTATTTCTAGCTAGATTTACTTCGAGGAATATGAACAAGGAGCTTTCTGTTAGCTGGATAAACCCTAGCTATCTATCAAGAAGCGAAGTGCGTAAATTGTTTTTCCAAGACGCGTTTGTTGTTAGTTTCAAAGCCGCTCGTCGCCGAAAATAACTGTGACACAAAGCGAACGAACTATGATATCAGGCGTTACATATACGAACTAACTATCAATGCGCTCTTGAACTAGATATTTTTAAATGGGTATATGCTTGTTTTTATCAAGTCACGGGTATCCGCTGTAAAATCCTTGTCTGTTTCACAATAGGTGCCATTGCATACCATTTCCCCCTGAAGATGGGAGAGTCTACTAGCATCATTAACATGAGAAAATGTTTTTAGTATGCAATAAGTGCTAGTGGAAATCGTTGTTTTGTCTCCATTTTCTGTGTCTTATTTGAATTCAAAGGTCAGCTTGCTTCACCTTTTTGTTCAACTCGTTCAAAAGACGTTTCAATTGGTTGAATACGACTTCAATTTAGCATCCTTACTGAATGCAATTGGAATTGTGCAAATAGTGCCAATCGTTATGTTTTTTTTATTTCTCATCATAGCATCGTTCAGCACAAATTACTTGTGCTGTTTCAACTTATTCGAATTTTCATCCTACAGGCTTGTTGGTCATGTCTTCGTAATTAGTTTTTCATTCGTGAATTTGTGTGATGAACAAAAGTTCTCGATTGTCTTTGCCAATGTCAAGATAGCTGTATATTCTGCCTCGCAAGATCTTTTGTTTATGTCTTATTTTCGTCGATTTTGTTGTACAAAACAGCTGATACAATGATAACACTGAGCCTTTTTGAACGTAATTAATCGAGTCTAATTATACAAGGCATTGTTCAACAGTGAATTTAAAAACACAAATGAATCTTCCTTGCTAGTAAACAGCATCTGATTCTGTTTATTCGTTATGACCCAAGTAAAATAAAAACTAGGAGATAATTTATTGTGTCTTTGCTACCTTTATGGGACTATTCCCTCTAGAAAACCCCTAGTTCCTACCACTGCAAATCCTGTGTAGCCAAGATCTTCAGCTTATCGTCAATGCAAATCCAACCAGTGAAGGTCACGTTTGTCCCGGGGGAAAGTTAAATTGTCATTGGACCGGAAAGAAATTAAACAGAAGAACTTAGAAGAAGTTCGAAGTTATAAGGTTCGAATTTCCTTCTGCTGTGTTTGGTCCAACTGCAAGAGTGCAGTCAGATTGTATAAATGTGTTGTTTATGTGTTGCTAGGAGCGTTAGCCCAGTTCCCTGGTGCAGGTGGGGTCAGATATTAATAGACGCAGACTGAACCGTCCGAATGACACCAACACTAATGCGATCTACATCTGGTACAATGACTGTGACATGTTATGTAAAAACAAGTGACATTCACAGTTCTGTTCCCCATGAAGAGCAACAATCGGAAAATTTATTCATGTCATTTTGGGTAATCCTAATTAAAAAGTCGCTATCGTTCTACATATTTAAGTTGGAAGGCAAAAATGATGAAAATCCCGAAATGTTAAGGAATTTTTCTCCAAGTAAAAATTTTACATGTCGGTAAATCAGTTATTGTTTAGAAAGCTTTCATTCCTTTGAGTTTGTTTCCCGGTTCAGCCGGGATCACAAAAGTGTATATTTAGCAGCCGGCTGAACTCGCTGAATGACACAAAGAGTGTTGTGAATTAGAACAATATCGCGGTCATTCACGTACAGTTGAAAACAATGTATTCGACTTTTTACGCTATTGCTGAAAAAATCTAAAATAAAATGTGGTAAATGTAACTCTATTTTTTATCTCTTCGTCTTGTTTGTACAAATACTGAATCGCTTCTCTTGTTGTCTACTCGTTATTATTGCTGTTTTTGTTGGTTCGTTAATTTCAGTCAAATGACTTCCACTGCTGGACATAGACCTCTCCCAAGGACTTCCACATTGTAGTTGGCCATAAAAAATCTTTATTCAGTAACTACAGAGCGTTTCTTAGTTTCATTTACATAAATAATATTATGACCATTTTTCATTGCATCATAGACAAATTACATTCATAGTAAATAAACATCGACAACCAATGACGCATGCGACTGATTGTTTCCGCGTGGAGTCCATCACCCGGCTGAATCACATCAATTGATCTAATTTATCGAGCAATGTTTGCATTTCCTTGGACTCCTATCGCCATATTTGTAATTTTATTTATTTTAAACACTGGCTTAGGTCACAACTTTTATTCTTCATGAAATATAAAATGTTTGTGCTCCTGTTTATTGTTGATCGGAGAGAGAACACCCTAAACATGCATTTAAAATAAACCATTTGAATGGTGTGACCGTTAAATCTAGTGTTATTTAGTACTAGCTAGTCTAAAGCATATTATTATTATAAATGTTTCCAATGCCATTATCGTCATTTTCGTACAAATAAGTCCATGACTTATTTTGCAGAAATTAACTACGATCCCCCGTTCCATAATATCTGAGCATCAGTGGCCTAAGGTCTTTGCCACACTGGCGGATTACAAGCGTTTTCAAAACGGAGGGGCGTCGCAGCAAACATGCCACGGCTGCGCGGTGGAAATGTCGCGAATGCGCAACGTTTCCGCCTAGAGTTTTCGCTTCGTGTTCGCTGCGCAGCCGCGACGTCTGCGTCGCCGCTCCCCTATACAAACGCTTGCAATTTGCCAGTGTGGCAGCTCACTAATAGATTCGTTAAAAGGGTCATTGTCTTATCCGTTCTCGCACCTCATTTTCCCTAACGTGTGTTTCTTTTGTTTTCGCTCTTCATCTTATCCTAACCCTCTGTCTTCCCTAAGGAGGTGCGCGCCGAGCGCGACGTGCTTCAAGTGCGCATGTCGGAGCAGGCGCTGAAGATCTCGTCGCTGTCGGCGCGCCTGCAGCAGCAGCGCAACGACGCCGAGGCGCTCGCGCACCACGCCTCCTCCCAGCTGTCCGTCCAGCTGCACGACGCGCGAGCAGAGGTAACCACCAACACAAGCTTCAGTACCCCAGACCTCGCTGATACTCGACTATTGTGGTGAACCCACTCGTGACAAGCATAGCAATCTGCCGGCTGGACAAAAGCAATAAAAATCATGACCCAGCTGCCATATCTTTGTTTTTTAAATAGCATCTCTAGTCATCTCTCCATGCTGCACGACGCGCTCGCTGAGGTTATAATGGTCATAGGGGAGAGTTCGGTATATTGTACCGCCGGGTAAATTGTACCACCCTCATATTTCGTAAAGTATTTATTGAATGTCTGTAATTGCAACACTCAGCGATACACAACTAAATTCAATTAATATCGGCCATGTGGTTTTTGCCGTGACAACGAACACGTGTGTTTTATTTTGAAAAGTATTTTTTCATTGTTTTCAAGTAACTTTTGACAATGCATATTTAGTTTGTAATTTTGTTAAATTTAATCACAGGGTGTTTCTAATATATTATTTAGAAGCGTAAATTAGTGCGGATTACAATTTTTTGAAACATTTTTCGGTATTTATAAGCTATATTTTTTACCGATTTTTTAAAAGCACTATCACCTAGTCGGCTAAATTGTACCACATCAAGTTGTATGGAACTTTACCAAAGGATTTTGAATTTTTTTTTAGTTAATCATATTTTGAAGTTATAATAGCGTAGTTATGTTTAACTAACAATAAATGAAAGCAAAATACTGGCAAAGTAGATTAAGTACAAGTGTGCGTTACGATAATTGAAATTACAAAACTTGTACTCAAAATCGTGATAACGTGTAAAACAATATCGATTGTCTATGTTATTAACTACTGTTTCTTTTCGTTTCCTTATTTTTTAAGAATGTATCGTATAATATTTTGCCATAGTTTTTTTATAGGCTTGAAATTTATTGAAATCCAATTTAGTAACCCAGTGGTACAAATTATCGAACCGGTTGGCTAAATTGGACCGATGCTCTGAGCTCGTATTTTGTTGATTTGTGCTAAATATACAACAATCATGTTAATTAATACTTATGAAATAGTAAGTTGAATAATTTATCTTTTATTATATACCATGAACATCAGCAAAAACAAAAGAAAACTATGTGTAAAATGGGATTGAAAAAAACTGGTCCAAATTAGCGGACTCTCCCTTATGATTTATTTAGCCTCTATCCATTCATTCACCCAATTTAACACAAGATTCATTCAACACTGTACTAGTTTTGTAAGTCTTGTATGTCAAATGAACACACGCTTATTCTGTACGATAATAATAAAGCTTCAAGTCGCTTACAGCAACGAAGCGTATACGACGGCACTACCCACGGCAAACTTCAATATTATTCATCATGCAATTGTGAAAAGAGGTCATTGCTCATTTCTATTACCTTTCCTCTGTCCTTAGATATTAGATCTTAGATCACCAGCACACTCAATATCTCTCAGTTGAGATTAATATAATATTGTTATTGCAGGTTCAGAAGTTGAAAGAAGACCTAGAATCGAAAGACAAACAGCTGCACCGGCTTAAACAGAATTTAGAGGAAAAAGACAAATTGAATGAACAGCATCAATCGTTGTATGGAAACTCATGTAAGTCCACCTTCAAATTGAATCAGTCATAATTAAACGTCACTTTTTGCTTATTTTTAGTCTATTCATAATGATTCAAAAGTCTTTTCCAACAGCAGATGCGCCCTGACTTTGATTTACTATTTAAAATAAAAATCAAGGTCTACAACAAAATCGTCGTTCTCAGCATTTTCACCAAAAAATAACCCATCTTTAGTTAATATAAACTTTTCTTTCTCATAGATCGTACCTATACCACTTTTAACACAGGCAATCCCAAAGACAAAGTGGTGATTCTGGAGCGCGAGCTGTCATCAGCGCAAACTCGCATTGCTCAACTAGAAGCCATCGCGCGCGGCCTCGAAGCTGATAAAGATGAGTTAAACTCGGCCCTGCGCGACCACCAGAGGGCGCTGGCCGAGAAGGAGGAGCAGCTACAGGAACTGCTGGGTGAGATAAGATATGATAAATGATTATGTACAGAGCATAAAGTTAATAATAAGTCCTTCGGAATAGAGCAACAACCACGAGCTGTCAAACGAAACCAATTTTGGATGACACTTGTGTGTCACTGTCAGTTATTTCACTGTTTTGTACAATAAGGGCTGCTTTTTCAATCATCTGATAACTTTTAACTGAAGAATAACTTTGGCATATTGACAGTTTCAGTATGGGAAATATGTCAAAATGACAAATTTATTCTTCAGTTAAATGTTAACTGATGATTGAAAAATCAGCCCTAAATCAATTACTGAACCAGTCACCACATTTCTCATAAACATCCACGATTTCACTCACGTAAAATCTGAAAATATATCAGTTCAAATGTCCAGCGTGCCACTGCGTGCCTCTGAACTATCAAATAGTTGCAAAAAATAGTTCTGTTTGACGTGACGGCGACGGCATCTTGCATCTTTTTTATCACTCAGTGTATCTGCTAGTGACATATCGCTCGCTTAGTTCTTTGTTGCTCTATTCCGCTAAGTATATTTACTTTATGGCACCGTGAGAAATTTTTTCATTTTTGGTTTATACAGGGAACAGAGTGCCTATTCTTTTAATGCTTACATGAAATCTCGCTAATGCTTTGGTTGTTTAATTAAATATAAGCGGCCGTGGCAAGATACCAAATCGAGCTGCCAAGAAAATATTTTTATTTATATTTCCGTAAAGCCAACTCGTCGGCTTATTAACGTGTTCGTAACCAAATATTATCATATGAAAATAAAATCTGCTTCGCACTTTCAGATTAAATACAAAAGCAGCACAAATATCAAAACAAATCAAACAATGTAGTGTTATTCTCAGATAGGCTAGGAGTTGGTTATGGCCCCATATTGAATAAAAAATTAGATTGTAAAATAATAAATAATTGTATGCCTGATGCATCCATTAGTCAAATAATAAATGGCATAAAAAAATGTAAACAATTACATAGCAAATCCATTTTAATTTTAATGTTAGGAAACAGTCAGAATATTAGTAGGAAAAATATTTTGCATAATTTTTCCATGCTGGCCAGCCTTAATGTTGAAAAGATAATTATGTGTGCCCTGCCATACTGTCAAAATGGCTCCTCAGATAATAACAAAAGTATTCACTTACTGAATACTCTATTATGTAACTTGACTGTTCGTCATAGCGACAAGTTTGTGTTTTTCGACACAAATAAATTTATTAATAATAAATTCTTATTGACAGGCAGCTCTTTACACCTGCCTCAAAGTATAAAATTAAAAGTTGCTACATTGTTAGCTTATAATATTAACTGTGTTATTAACACAAAACAAGTAAATTCAACTTTTGATATTATTAGTAGAAATACTAATATTTCTGTGACAACCTCTGATTTAAACTGAGAGGGACGACAACAGACAGGTCTATTAAAGGATTTAATATTGTTCATCAAAATTTACAAGGCCTGGCTGGCAAAGAATTAGAACTAGAATTGTTTTTAAAAAAATACAATGTTCATGTATTATGCTTAACAGAACATTGGCTTAAAAATTATGAATTAATGTTTTATGTAGGTAATCATATTAAAAGTACCTTAATGAAAAAGGGCTACTATAAAGTCGATGATTATTTAAAAGATAAAAATGTTTGGGATACTTTACTGCCTAGCTCGCATAAATATTTATAACTTTGTACATTTTAAAGCATGTAAACCTTTGAAAAAGAGGCTGACAATAGTGACTGAGTTTCTTGCGCTGCTTCTTCTCAGCACTGGCCCATTTATTGTCCTGAAGCAGTGGTAGGGTTAATACTGGGACGTGTAAAAGTGCTTTTTTTAAGCCTATTTACAGAAATAAATGAGTTTTATGAGTTTTTATGAGTTTTTTTAATATGACTTGTTTTCGTTAGCTTCCTGTGCCGATTCATTCATTGAATAAACATTTTGGATTAACTCCAACTCCCGCGCACTAATTTAGTCGAACAGATACGCCTAGACTGCGCGTCACCTAATTTACTATTTTATCACTCATAAATAACATTTCTTCACAGCGCTGAAACTGGACGATGACAACCAAAGGGAGAAAAGCGAGGACGGAGGGAAAGCGTCCGCTCGCACGCTCAGCGATATCGTGTCGATATCGGAGTTCGACGAGCAGGACTTGCAGATGAGGCGAGCGGAGCTCAAAGGTCACAATACGAGTCTGACGGGCGCGCCGCACGCGTCTGATTCAAGAGACAAAATGCTAAACAGGACGCTGCCTCCGGAACTGACGCGTCCGAACATGAGCTCCCTCAATATCGAGTACATCGACAGTCTGGACGCGCCGCATGGTACTCCCCGCGCCGATTCATTGCCCGCGCACCTCACCTCTACTCAAAACAAGGATAGATACAAACGCAACGTCAACGAGACCATGATGTTCGGAACCCTCGACAAGTTTGGAGAGAGCGTCAAGCACTCAACAGCTCAGAACATCCCCGATAACTGCTCCATGTACCCCAATAGAGACGTCAGCGAAAGTAAGGACCACAGCGTCGAACCAAAGAAGATCAACTTCTCCGTTGAACCTTCCCACGACAACAGAACGCACGACGAGGAGGAATTCACGTCGCTCAGAGAATTAGGAATCAGTTTAGACATCCGACAGGAGAATTTCCCGGATATTCTGACTCAGTTGAAACATGAAATCAAAAAGTCCCGAGCGGAGTTGGAGAATTGCAAATCTGAGCTGAAAAATGCCGAGGAGCAGCTCTGTGAGTTCCCAGCTTTGAAAGAGGAAGTGGAAGAGTTGAAGGGGCTATTGGAGAACACGATGGCCACCATGGAGACTGATAAAAAGTTCTACGAGAATCAACTGGAAAACTTCTCGTCGAACAAGAAGTTGCTGGAACAACGCTTGACCGAATTGACCCAGGAGGTCGGGGAGAAATCTAAGGACTTACATTTGCTCAAAGAAGATATTTTAAGAAGAGAGAATATGATTCTCGAACTCGCAAAGGAGAAGCGTAATTTGACAAACAAAATGACTGAACTCGAAGTAAAAATTGACGAACTGCAAAGCAGAAATAACGCATTAGAAAAATGTGAAACGGAAAATCACCAACTGAGAGAGAAATTGCAAGAAATGCAAAAACTCGAACAACTAGTTTCCGAGAAAAACCATCAAATAGACTCTTTGAATCAACATTTAGATAGATTAGACGATTTGCAAAGGTGTCTCAATGATAAAACCGAGGAATTAGAAAACTTGAAAGAAGCCTTAGAAGAGAAATCTAGCGAGGTCTTCCAAATGCAAGATACAGTAGAGGCTTTGAATCGGGACATCGCCAAGCTCAACGAGCATAATAACCAACTCAATGACAGCAACAAAGAATTAAAACTCAAACTTAGTAAACTAGAAAAAGAGCAAGAGAATGCTTCTCTAAAACTACAAAGTAGCGAGAGTGAGTTAGAAAGAGCTAACTCCCTAAACAGTGAATTAACATCGAAAATTGATGAGCTCAAATTGTTGACTGACAAATTAAAAGACAAAGAAACTGAAATTGAGATCTTACACGAGGACATAAACGCTTTCCACGAAGAAATAGCGTCATTGAAGGAGCAAATGAAGATGGTTTCGCGGAGTCCCTCGCCCAGGAGCAAGAATGGCGACGACAAGAAAGTGGCCGACCGGCAGGCGAGCAATGATAAGAAGCAGCTCGTCAAGATTAGGAAGCAAATATCGCTGCTGCAACACGAATTGGACTTCAACAAGAAGGAATTAAATGACAAGGTGAGTTGCATCTTATTCGATTACTATATAAATCATAATGTCAGTTAAATAGTTCTGCTCCAATTTAGGGACTGTGTATATATTCACATCAATTCTTATACACTCAAACATTTTGTGGTACAATTTATCGAATCATGGGCTTGAATTGATTGAGATTGAGTTTTGCCATTAATTTTACAATACGAGTCAGTTTAAATAATAACTATAAAATCTTACGAAGTTTCTGCTTTGTAACGTGATCAAGGGCTGATTTTTTAACCATCAGATATTTTTACCATTTTGACATTTTTCCCATACTGAAACTGTCAATGTTCCAAACTTATTCTTCAGTTAAGAGTAGGCGCACACCGTTGATTTTTCGTCGGCCGATAGTTTAGTCGGGCATTTGATCAGCATGAGAGTACGCACACTACGCCGATTCGATTTGGCCGATTCTTCATACAATTTAAAATCGGGTACAACTGTCGGCCAACTAAAAATCAACGGTGTGCGCCTACTCTAAAAGTTATCCGACGACTGCAAAATCAGCCCTAAATCGAGTATGTTATTTCAGTCAATCAGATATAAATATAAAATATAAATAAATAAATATCTTTGGACAATCTCACACAGCGCCATCTAGCCCCAAAGTAAGCAATTAATATGCTTGTGTTATGGGTGCTAGCTTAACGGATATACTACTTATATACTTTTTTTTTAAATACATACATATTATACATAGTAACACCCAGACCCGTCACAGAAATTAAAATTCATCATTTCAATTTCTGCCCGGCCGGGAATCGAACCCGGGACCTCTCGGCATAGTAGTCCGTTCTGAACCACTACACCAAACGGCCGACTAAGATTAAGACTAAGATACGTTGTTCATTTGATACTCATGACTTGCCCCACCCATCCAGGCCTTCGAGCTAGCAAAAGCGAAGCTGGACGTGACGGAGCTCCGCAACAACCTGGGCCAGGCAGCCAGCGCCGCCGCCGACAGGGAGCTGGCCACGGCTCGCCTGCAGCACGACCTGCAGGCCCTGGCTGCGGAGAAGGAGCAGCTGGCCGAGCAGCTGACGAACGTGTCTGCCAGGTAAGGACCGGGATTCATATTTGTGAGTCAAATAGCTCGCCGTAAAGTAGGTTTTTTTTTTTATCCACAACGAGGAAGCTCTTGGCCTGTATCTCACCTGATGGTAAGTGATGATCAGGCCGAAGGTGGAAGCGAGCTTCACCCGGAATCCTCAACCACGGAGGAACTGGCTATCTTACCTCTAACTGCCGGAACACAATAATGCTGTTAACATTGTTGTTATGGCGACAGACTTAGGTAAGATGGTGGTAGCTAGCCAGGCGGACTTAGAACAAGCCCTACCACCAACCAAACCGAACAGAAAAATCTGCCCCCACTGGGAATCGAACCCGGGACCTCTGCGTCTGAAGCAGGTGGTCTTACCACTAGACCACAGAGGCGGCGATGCATGCCTACTTGATGGACGATAGATCTTAAGAAAATATAGATTGTTTCATCCACGAAGACCCTCCCCACCATTAGTTGTTGCTGTTGTCCATTTTATTAGTTGTCGCGACTGTGCGACTGGCACCCGCAGTGAGTGCACGAGCCCGGTAGCAACATAATTACGCGCGAGCGATAAGTATGAGTAGCTTGGGGTCATTGGACAAAATTCTACGTGCTCACAGACCAGACTATACACGCTAAATCATCCATGAGTGCACACGCACACTATAATAATAACGCTCAGATTGCTCGGATCAAACTCCCCGCGCTTGCTTCGACCAAAAATGGGTGGGGCGCGTCTTCGTGGATGAAACTATCTATAGCAGCTGGCTGCTAACAGTTAGATGAAATAAGCAGGAGATCGTGTTTTGAGGCATTCTTTAGGGCTTACTTCCAGAAGCGGATTATGCCATTGACTGAAATTGTGATGATCAAAATTATCTCTGTGATACGATTTAATTCTCCATTTTGTAAGAGACAATTAAATATTACGTCATTGCTGTAATGTATCTAATTTGTGTTTGTCTTTGCAGAATAAGAGAAGAGTCAAACACGTCAGAATTAAAGGCGAAGCTGCGCGAAAAGACTGAACGATGCCAAGAACTGGAGAACGAACTACAGGACATGAAGGAGCTTGTTGACAGGTGAATGAACTATTCATTTAATTATAATAAAAATAATGAGGGTTTTTGACATGACATTGATAGATATGTCAAAATCCACCAATCACGCAGCAGTCAGACCCCACATCCACGTCCCGCCATCTAGCGGATCTTTCATACGCGAAAACCCTCATTGTTTTCGTTATTTTCAACCAAAAGACGTCCACTGGACAAAGTCCTCCAAGGATTTCCACAACGACCGGCCCTGCGGTCCAGGTACTTCCTATGACCTTCACCAGATCGTCGATCCACCTAAAGTTCGGTCGCCGAGCAGATACAATTTCGTCCAATGACCCCAAGCTAGCCATTCTTATTATTCGCACGTAACTATATTGCGGTCGCGACTGTGCGACGGGCGGCCGCAGTGAGTGTGGGAGCGCGATAGCAATATAATTACACGCGAGCGATCGGGATGGGTGGCTTGGGGTCATTGGACGAAATTCTATCTGCTCGGCGACCGGACTTTAGTGGGAGGCCTACCCACATTACTTCTTCCAGCTCATAGTCGCCACTCGAGAATTGTTTTATATCTCCCTATTTTTGGTCTGGAACTCATAAGCATCTTTGTGTTCAGGTTACGAGAAGCCGAAGCGAACGAAGCGCTGCAGCAGCATTCCTCGCGCGCGCTGGTGGTGAGCGGCAGCCGCTCGCCCACCGCCGAGCTGGAGCGCGCGCTGCGGGACCAGCTCAACTACTCGCACTCGCTCGACGACGACATCTGCGAGCAGGTGAGCGAGCGAAGCGTGCAGCAGCAGTAGCGAGCGCTGGTGGTGGCACCGCCGAGCTGGAGCGCGCGCTGCGGGACCAGCTCAACTACTCGCACTCGCTCGACGACGACATCTGCGAGCAGGTGAGCGAGCGAAGCGTGCAGCAGCAGCGAGCGAAGCGTGCAGCAGCAGTAGCGAGCGCTGGTGGTGGCACCGCCGAGCTGGAGCGCGCGCTGCGGGACCAGCTCAACTACTCGCACTCGCTCGACGACGACATCTGCGAGCAGGTGAGCGAGCGAAGCGTGCAGCAGCAGCGAGCGAAGCGTGCAGCAGCAGTAGCGAGCGCTGGTGGTGGCACCGCCGAGCTGGAGCGCGCGCTGCGGGACCAGCTCAACTACTCGCACTCGCTCGACGACGACATCTGCGAGCAGGTGAGCGAGCGAAGCGTGCAGCAGCAGCGAGCGAAGCGTGCAGCAGCAGTAGCGAGCGCTGGTGGTGGCACCGCCGAGCTGGAGCGCGCGCTGCGGGACCAGCTCAACTACTCGCACTCGCTCGACGACGACATCTGCGAGCAGGTGAGCGAGCGAAGCGTGCAGCAGCAGCGAGCGAAGCGTGCAGCAGCAGTAGCGAGCGCTGGTGGTGGCACCGCCGAGCTGGAGCGCGCGCTGCGGGACCAGCTCAACTACTCGCACTCGCTCGACGACGACATCTGCGAGCAGGTGAGCGAGCGAAGCGTGCAGCAGCAGCGAGCGAAGCGTGCAGCAGCAGTAGCGAGCGCTGGTGGTGGCACCGCCGAGCTGGAGCGCGCGCTGCGGGACCAGCTCAACTACTCGCACTCGCTCGACGACGACATCTGCGAGCAGGTGAGCGAGCGAAGCGTGCAGCAGCAGCGAGCGAAGCGTGCAGCAGCAGTAGCGAGCGCTGGTGGTGGCACCGCCGAGCTGGAGCGCGCGCTGCGGGACCAGCTCAACTACTCGCACTCGCTCGACGACGACATCTGCGAGCAGGTGAGCGAGCGAAGCGTGCAGCAGCAGCGAGCGAAGCGTGCAGCAGCAGTAGCGAGCGCTGGTGGTGGCACCGCCGAGCTGGAGCGCGCGCTGCGGGACCAGCTCAACTACTCGCACTCGCTCGACGACGACATCTGCGAGCAGGTGAGCGAGCGAAGCGTGCAGCAGCAGCGAGCGAAGCGTGCAGCAGCAGTAGCGAGCGCTGGTGGTGGCACCGCCGAGCTGGAGCGCGCGCTGCGGGACCAGCTCAACTACTCGCACTCGCTCGACGACGACATCTGCGAGCAGGTGAGCGAGCGAAGCGTGCAGCAGCAGCGAGCGAAGCGTGCAGCAGCAGTAGCGAGCGCTGGTGGTGGCACCGCCGAGCTGGAGCGCGCGCTGCGGGACCAGCTCAACTACTCGCACTCGCTCGACGACGACATCTGCGAGCAGGTGAGCGAGCGAAGCGTGCAGCAGCAGCGAGCGAAGCGTGCAGCAGCAGTAGCGAGCGCTGGTGGTGGCACCGCCGAGCTGGAGCGCGCGCTGCGGGACCAGCTCAACTACTCGCACTCGCTCGACGACGACATCTGCGAGCAGGTGAGCGAGCGAAGCGTGCAGCAGCAGCGAGCGAAGCGTGCAGCAGCAGTAGCGAGCGCTGGTGGTGGCACCGCCGAGCTGGAGCGCGCGCTGCGGGACCAGCTCAACTACTCGCACTCGCTCGACGACGACATCTGCGAGCAGGTGAGCGAGCGAAGCGTGCAGCAGCAGCGAGCGAAGCGTGCAGCAGCAGTAGCGAGCGCTGGTGGTGGCACCGCCGAGCTGGAGCGCGCGCTGCGGGACCAGCTCAACTACTCGCACTCGCTCGACGACGACATCTGCGAGCAGGTGAGCGAGCGAAGCGTGCAGCAGCAGCGAGCGAAGCGTGCAGCAGTCGCAGCGAGCGCTGGTGGTGATTTGATAGCGGCTGATGGAGACTAAATAAACAATAAACCTGCTTGCATCATTCCAATAAGGTCTCCTGCGCACTAGATAGCCTGGCTGTAGCAGCATTCCAAAATACGAACACTCTTGGCTGCCTAGTACGCGGGCATAAAATATGGTCGACTGGTTGCCGCAGCCAGGCTGTCTAGTGCGTGGGAGGCCTAAGACAACACAATCTGATAGAACATGCCACCAGCAAAAAGAAAAGTTAATTTTCATAAGGCATAAGTACTTGAGTTCAATTTTCGACAACTGACGTACAAAACAACGAAGGACATATTTCCATGCACACGACCGAACCTTGGCAATGAAAATTTGACTGACACGCACATTTTCCGATTACTGATGTAACCGGCTCGGTCACGAACTTACCGAATATCTTGTCGTTTCAGATCCTATCGGCGAGCAGCGACGACCGCGAAGACATTCCGCGCCTCGCTTTGAACATATCAAAGTAAGTTTTAATATTTTTTAACTATATTGGTTCTAAGACTCTTTAACAGTAGTTTAAAAAGTACCATTTCATAATCACAAGTATAATGACATAATTTATTGCACAATTGATTTTCAATGTGGTATATTGGTTCAAAAATTCTTAAAATGTTTAAAATGTACCATTTCATAATCACAAGTAATATAATACTATAATTTTTTGCACAATTACACATAAAAGTTTATTTCATTCCAGCATTTTTTAAAAAAATTATTAGATTTTATTAATTTTAAATAGAAGAGTCGTATTATCATAAAAAGTGTTGTCAATTGATTGGTGAAGTACCTGCCTTATTGCATAAAACAAACACGGTATACTTTATACGTCACGCTGCACGCAGCTTTCTTACGTGGGCAGTTAAACATTGCGCTCACAGTTGGCTTAGGATGCGCGCTCGATTTTAGACCAGTAGGCTTAAGATGCGTGCCGCGATAAGCGGTTATCACGCTATTTTATCGATTATGCCCATACATTTTGACGTCGATAAAATTTATCACGGCGCGCATCTTAGGTCTACTGATAAGCTAATCGAATCGATAAAATGCCTCGAAAAGAAGTCGTGGTGCGCATTTTAGGCCAATTGTTGACGTTTAGACGGTAGTTTCATATCTCATTATGTGCCAGGTCCTCGTCGTCGATCCACTCGTCCTCGTCGGAGCGGCTCCACCGACTGCGGGCGGACAACGACAAGCTGCAGGTGCAGGTCAACAACCTCGAGCTGCGGCTGCGGGACAAGGACGCGCTCATCACGGAGCTCAACAGGTAGGCTGTGGCAAACTGAACTCTATGGCTGTGTCGTAAGTGCTAAAGCCTGGTCCGTAAGCACGTAGAATTTTGTCCAATGACCCCAAGCTTATGGGGTAATTATGTTGCTGTCGCGCTCGCACACTCACTGCGGCCGCCCGTCGCACAGTCGCGACAGCAATATAATTACGCGCGAGCGATAAGGATGGGTAGCTTGGGGTCATTGGACAAAATTCTACGTGCTCACGGACCAGGCTTTAGTCTACAACACTCGTCGGAGCGGCTCCACCGACTGCGGACGGACAACAAACTGCAGATGCAGGTCAACAACCTCGAGCTGCGGCTGCGGGACAAGGACGCGCTCATCGCAGAACTCAACAGGTAGGCTGTGGCAAACTGAACTCTATGGCTGTGTCGTAAGTGCTAAAGCCTGGTCCGTAAGCACGTAGAATTTCGTCCAATGACCCCAAGCTACCCATCCTTATCGCTCGCGCGTAATTATGTTGCTGTCGCGCTCGCACACTTACTGCGGGCGCCCGTCGCACAGTCGCGACGGCAATATAATTACGTGCGAGCGATAAGGATGGGTAGCTTGGGGTCATTGGACAAAATTCTACGTGCTCACGGACCAGGCTTTAGTCTACAACACTCGTCGGAGCGGCTCCACCGACTGCGGGCGGACAACGACAAGCTGCAGATGCAGGTCAACAACCTCGAGCTGCGGCTGCGGGACAAGGACGCGCTCATCACGGAGCTCAACAGGTAGGCTGTGGCAGACTGAACTCTATGGCTGTGGCATAAGTGCTAAAGCCTGGTCCGTAAGCACGTAGAATTTTGTCCAATGACCCCAAGCTTATGGGGTAATTACAGCCTTGGCCAAAAGTATTGAGCACCCCCTAAATACTGCTTATACATGATAACTATAAAAGATACTCAAAGATATTTGATAAAAACCTTTCCTTGACAGGTTTTGAAACATAAACTCACGGCACAACGTGCAATAAAACACGTTTCGAGATGTTTAGCTATGATACTGTAGTATTGTTAGTCTTTGAAAAATCATAAAAAAACTTCTTCCGACCTCGCTGCTGAGTTATCAGCTGAAATTAATACGCCAATTTCTGCAAGAACAACTCGCAGAAGACTCCAAGAAGCTGGGCTTAAGGGCTATACAGCCAGAAAGAAGCCATGGCTCTCAGAAAAGACCAAAACAGCTCGTTACGAGTAGGCTTTAAAATACCAAACTTTCACTGAGGAAGATTTGAAAAACATTGTGTGGTCAGATGAATCAAACTTTGAGGTAAGTTAGCCAATATCATGTAATAACAATACGCGACAATAATATTATAAAACTATATTTGTAAAAATAAATATTGGACCGAAAAACACTTAACAAAATTTCGTTACTTTACAGATTGTTGGCACACCTGGTGTGACATTTGTCCGTCGTCGAGTAGACGAAGAATTTACCCCGGAGTGTGTGGTACCTACCGTCAAAC